GATAGATAGATAGATAGATAGATAGATAGATAGATAGATAGATAGATAGATAGATAGATAGAATATCATAAGTCCTATGAATCCTGAGAAACTGGCACATGCAAATATTTTTAGTAGCTCTTAAAAGATTAGTCCGCATGAAAACCAATATTTCAGATCTGTGATAATGCTGGTGGTGGAATCACCAACAGGCTTCTTACATCTCTAATGGCGAGATCTCTGCACTTGACTTCTTGATCTTGATTCTTGACCCTTGCTCTTCCTACCGCTTCCGTTACAAAGGTGTCACACTCAGGTGGGAGGAGTCTGCTGGTGGAGGTGGAGCTAATAATTCTGCTGTGGTGAGCTCCTCAGTGGATTGCCCATGAGATATAAGAAGACAGTAGGTGACTCAGATTGCCTGGACTCGCCCCTAGCTGACCCATAGTGGGCAGACTGACCCATTCACTGCGATATATTTTTCGGTATTATCTCTTTGCTGTGAAATAATTGTAATAATAGAAATAAAAAGCTGTTTTATAATATTCAGGTGACAATCAATCGAATAAAGTATAGGACTAGAACACCATGGTGCTTCTCTACTCGTTGGTGCTGAAACCCTCGCAGGAGATTATAGATGTATTTTATTAACATAGAAGATGCATGAGAGACTATTACTGGTGCTTGTCAGTGCTCCTGAATGCACAATAAACATTTGTAACATCTGAATATGATCTGTGTGTGTGATTTGTACATATCCACTGATGTAGGACATATCCATGTTGTCTGCTGTGTTGAAGTGTCTACATTGCCCAGTGGTCAGTCTGACTTACCTGTTTGGCCTCTGGGGAAAAACCTCTTGTTTTGCATTTGTAATCCAAGTCCAGCCACTCCTTAAGGTGTCCATACATGGGCCCAATATCTGCTCCTCCTCCCAGCAGTGACGCAGCACCTCTGCTCCCCTCTACTTGTCGTTACTCAGCAGCCTTACAGTCTTCTGACTTTAATATACACATTGAACAGGTCAGGGACGTGCGGTCAGGGGAGGCAGGTGAGGCAGACCCTCTCCTAGTATTATGGAGGAAAAAGCTGTCAGCTTCAAGTCTGAAGCTGACAGCTTTTTCTCAATTCAGATCGGCTGGTTACAGGTTACACAGCAGGGGAAGCCTCCCCACCGTGTAACTTGTCATGGACGGAGCGCTGCTGGTTAATTACAGGCAGTGCTGCATCCGGCTTTTGACAGGTAGTTAGGTTACACAGCAACGGGCTTCCCCAATGCTTGTGTAACCTAACTTAGTGAGGCAAGAGCTGTCACAGCATCTACTCTGTGTTAGAGGCGTGAGCTCTGTGGATGGTTTGGAAGAATGGCAAAGCGCCATTGGTCCAAGCTGTCCAATCAAAAAAAGAAAAAAACAAAACACTGAGGCCATCAATCTCGATGCCTCAGCAGTGACGAGCAAGTGAGGGACAGGGAGTCTCCTCCCTTACTCCTCCCTCACTACTTCACACTAGCTTGGGGATCGGGTTGGGGGACAGGGTTTCGGCAGGCTGGGGGCGGGGCTGGGAATGCTTGGGGCGAGGCTGGGGAATGCCTTACCCAGAACCAGAGGTACCGCACGTCACTGGAACAGGTACCCTAGTCTAGCACAGGTTCACTTTAAAAGAGACCTGTGGCTAGGCTACAGTTGCAAAAATTGCTGTCCAGTTTTGAGTGCATTGTACGTTGGCAGCTGATTCAAAATGAATGAGATACCCAATCCAACACACGCTAAATTTGCCTATGTTACCACGTGGTAGTATGAACGAGCCCATATCCTTGTCCATTTTTCTGTACATGTCCATCTCTCTGTTCACCAGCATATGTCTATCTCCCTTCAAGGCACACCTCAGTCTCCATTCACTGATACCCCTCACTCTCCATTCACCGACACACCTCACTCTCCATTCACTGATACACCTCACTCTCTATTGACTGATACACTTCACTCTCCATTCACTGACACACCTCACTCTCCGTTCACCGACACACCTCACTCTCCGTTCACCGACACACCTCACTCTCCGTTCACCGACACACCTCACTTTCCATTCACCGATACACCTCACTCTCCATTCACCGTCGCCCTTCACCAGCAACATGAAAACCTGGACAGAAAAAACTCACTCTACAACTCTCGATTTACTGGCACACCTCACTCTCCATTCACCGATACACCTCACTCTCCATTCACTGACACATCTCACTCTCCATTCACTGATACACCTCACTCTCAATTGACTGATACACCTCATTCTCAATTGACTGGCACACCTCACTCTCCATTCACCGATACACCTCACTCTTCAATCACCGATACACCTCACTCTCCAATCAACGATACACCTCACTCTCCATTCACCGACACACCTCACTCTCAATTCACTGGCACACCTCACTCTCCATTAACTGACAAACCTCACTCTCCATTAACTGACAAACCTCACTCTCCATTCACCAATACACTTCACTCTCCATTCACCAATACACCTCACTCTCCATTCACCAATACACCTCACTCACCATTCACCAATACACTTCAGTCTCCATTCACCAATACACTTCACTCTCCATTCACCAATACACCTCACTCTCCATTCACCAATACACTTCACTCACCATTCACGGATACACCTCACTCTCCATTCACTGACACACCTCACTCTCCATTCACCAATACACTTCACTCACCATTTACTGGCACACCTAACTCTACATTCACCATCCCCCTTCCCAAGCAACATGAAAACCTGGACAGAAAAAAAACTCACTTCCACCACAAATAACAAGAACCATAGAGGTCACTGCAACCATTGTAAATGGTTTATTATTAGTATTAGTAAATAACATTGCTCAGTGGAGGCTTTTTTCACTCGGGGAAAATTTATAGCTTGGACGGTACTCTTCTCCGGACACTGCCAGTGATATTTCCGTAGGGCTTATCTGACGGCAGCAAGATCTGATAAAAAAACAAAACGATAGAAGTTCTAGTAATTTAATGGAAACTCAGGCGTGTAAAGAACTGAAAGCTTCATCACAATGATATTCAGGTGACTGTAACACAACTAATCACAGGAGGATTAAGATGATTTACCTCATCCTGGTTGCTCAGGCCAAATTTGCTCATGTCAATATTAAAATAATGCTTGTTTGGTAGAAGAACTTCAATCTCTTCAATCTGAAAAAAAAAATTATCCTATTGTCAGTATAAATGTTTCTCTGTCTGTCTGTCTGTCTATCTATCGACAAACAAGTGTATCGAGTCTCCACAATCTCCTTTTCTATGTATGTAAATTGTACACAGATATACAGTATATTCCAATTCTATTAGTTGTATCCAAAAAGCAGAAGTAATGGGGGAGGGGTGCTCCATCCCAAAAGAGGAACTATTTTTGTCATGTTCACTGTTTACAGCATAACAGATTAAAGTTTCAGTCCAGCTATTACTTTTTATTTTAGTTTTGGATAGTGTGTGTGGGGGGGGGGAGGGGGGATTAGAACCCATGTCCTGCTTTCTGGGGCCCCTTTATAAATTTCACTGCTCTTACTTTTCTGGAGGCAACAGTTTTACCAGACAGGAAGTCAGGAGAGATCTCCAATGCCAACACAGACAGAAATAAAGATTATTGGTTTTTATTAGAGTGGTGGAAAGCTGGCCATACACTTCTAGATTGCTACATCAAAACTAAACCTCCCCTGCTGGCTATTGTATTCTGACATCCAAATACTTCAGCAGTGAAGAAAGCTGATTGGCTGCAGGCCCTGTAGCAGCCAATCAGCCAAATGTAACAATTTACCTTCGACCAAAGTGGTTGTCCCATTTGCGCCCAACTGCTATTGTATCAGTTCGCTTGATACCAGACCAGGACAGATTTATCAGCGTACAAGCTCTGATGTAGGGGGATTTGTGAGCCCCAGCAACACATTGGCTTTTTACTGTTACATTGTGTCTCAATAAGAAAAAAACAAACCATACTAGACTAATATTATTGTGGCGCTCTCATTTTTCCAATACTGTACACTTCCAGGGCCTCCTTAGGAAACCTTTTTAAGGCCTCATTCACACAGCTTAGACTCGGCATGCACAGCCATATCGGGCTGTTCCTGGGAAGGACGGGTGCTGCGTGTGATTGTATGCAGCAGCCTGTTCTTCCCTGTAGGAGGAAGCGGCCGTACGCCGCTGTACACTCGCCCGAGCTGCACATCCCGAGCAGGTGCGGGTGTCCGTGCTTGGACGCAGACAGGATCCATCCTGTCTGCGTCCAAGTAGGGGCACCTGCATCTGCACGGATGTGCAGCTCGAGTTAGCGTACGACAGTGTACGGCCGCGTCCTCCCATAGAGCCACAGAGAAGAATAGGCTGCTGCGTACAATCACACGCAGCACCTGTCCTTCCCAGGAATGGCTCGATATTGCTGTGCATGCCACACTGATCTGTTCGGGCCGACTCTAAGCTATGTGAATGAGGCCTAAATGTAGAGATGCCTTCAAAAACTACAGCTTTCTGAGTACCCCGTTAAAACCAGGGGCCAACATTCCTCCAATACACATTCATGTGGTGGACCTAGGTGGTTTTATACTTTACGGAGGAATAACGGAAGAGATTAATACACAATATAGGAAGTAAGGTTTCATAAGGAAGGGGTATTCGTCTCTCTTTTTTAATTATGAAAAGTTGTCAGGCGTCTATGTCAGTTTTTTTACTTCTTATGGAGAGAATAGAATACCTCTGGGATCCGGCTAAGACCCAACATTTGGATGTCATAGAGAGTTTTCTGAACGGACGGAGAGTATTCTCCTTTATCATACGGTCCAGCAAATGTATCCAGGATTATTTCCTTCATGGTTTGCCTGAAAATACAAAAACATATCACACCGGTATTGTAAGCTGATTACATATATCTATATATTAGATAAAGAGCACCTTTGTAAAAGACAGAGCTGTGCAAATCTCAGGAATGGACGGCCAGACATACAAACCATTTGGCAGGTAAAACAGCCCCCATAAATTATTATTATACAGGATTTATATAGTGCCAACAGTTTGTGCAGCGCTTTACAATATAAGAAGGACATTATAATTACAATACAATTCAAGACAAGATGGTAAGGGGGGCCCTACGCGTGAGGGCTTACAATCTAAGAGGGAGGGGCAAGTGATACATGAAGAGGTAGCTGTGTGGAGATGAATTGTTTGAGAACGGTTGAGTGATTAGGTTGAGGTGGGATAGGCTTCCCTGAAGAGATGAGTCTTTAGCGATCGCCCGAAAGGCAGTCAGAGTGGGAGATAGACTGGCAGTTTGGGGTAAGGAGTTCCAAAGAACGGGAGAGACTCTAGAGAAGTCCTGGAGGCAAGCATGGGAGGAGTTGACGAGGGTCCTGGAAAGCAGGAGGTCTTGGGAGGACCGTAGGGGATGGTTAGGCTGATACTTGGAGACGAGGTTTGAGATATAGCTGGGGGCAGAGTTGTGGACGGCTTTGTAAGTGGTTGTTAATATTTTGAATTTTATGCTTTGGGCGATTAGAAGCCAGTGGAGGGATTGGCAGAGGGGGGGTTGCAGACACTGAGATGTATTGCTTCGCTGTATTTAGCCATTTACCTTCAGTTCAGCTAAACCAGAGGGTGCTCACTGCTCAGTGTTCCTCAGTCTAAATTTTTTTAAGCCCAAGTTTAATCATTTTTTTACCTGCCACATTCATTGAATAAATTATTGCTAATTGAAGCTTTATATCAGATGGTGTGCATGGTAAGGTGACAGATCTGACCTTCCAAGATTAAATGAACCCCAACTTCCAGGGTGCATTGAGAGTAGGACAATCGACCTCCAGGCTCACACGACTAAAGCCTAGGACTTTTAGTCATGTGATCTTTGTTTAAGGGGGAATAAGATATTGCAGATCATTCTTTGCTAAAGAGGAAGGATCAACCACCCCAATATCATAAAATGCCTTGAATTTTGGCCATGTAACCTCCACTGAAAGGAGCCCGGAGCAATATTTTCCCAAGGATAGGTTAAGCTCTGCTGTTACCCAATATTCATGCAACCCAGCAAATTCCGAGTTACCAATAACCTTCATATGTACAAACTCCAACACACATACAGAAAGTAAGATATATGACATGAGACCTTGCTGTACCTCCTATATATACAAGCTGTCAGAAGGAAATAAATGGCAGCTGGTAGTATTTCTTTTTTTTGTGTAAATTCTTTATTTTAATTTTTTTCTAAAGTCATACACATGGAGTACAATGGCATATACATTAGTAGTACAGGAACAAGTTTCCTGGCAAGGTAACACAATGATACAGAAAGAAGAATTATTTAAGGTATGACGTCTACACTGAACACTGACAGCCTTGCCCCTCTGAGGGCATATGGCTAATTCCGTGCACGTTCTATATGTGGGCAGTGAATCCAGGAGGTTCAATAGGTGTACCCTGTATATTGTCCGGTGTATGAAGGTTTAATGGGTGGATCAGAGGAAATCATAAGTGGACAGGGAGCAGGGGACGTGAATGATGGGATCTCAGATAGAAGCGAGAGTAGGAATATGTAGGGCAGAGTTAACTGCCGTATGACCACCAAGCATTTGCTGTGTGCTGGTCATTTAGGTCCCTTTACATACCATTTGGAATCAAAGTTGACCCCCTGATAGGTGTTGTATCTCCACTTGCAGATGACCACGGTGGAGAAGCAGCGGTCTCTCACTTCTTGGAGTGTTGTGAACTGATCCTTTAAAAAACCTTCAAACCCAGACTGCGTCGTCTTCAAGACCCGAAGTTCTTTGATCCCAGAGTGAATGACTGGTTGACCTACACAGAAGCCACAAAATAAAGGAAAGAAAACAGAGAGAACTCTCTTGCTTGTAATAACTGTAATAATTATATACTGTATATATGGCTGTAGAACTGATGGCTGTAATAACTGCATCTTCAATGAGTATAATTACTGTGGCACTTTGTCAAAATCTGTGAATGAAACCAAAGTCCTGTCTGCCACCATGGCAAAGGGACTCACAGTTCTTAATGGAATACAGGTGTGGTGGTGTATTTCATTCCTCCTCCCATTCATATTACTAAATGTCCATACTGATGTCCATCATGGATGCGAGGAAGAATCCGCAGGAGCCAAAGAATTGCACCCATGATCCACTGATTGCCACTGAATCAGCCTCCTGTCATCAAAGGCTTAGATACAGCAAATTGAGCCCCTGGCTTGCGGCCCGGCTCCTGACAAACAGGAGGTCGACATCACTAGTTGCCAGGAGCTGGGTTGGATGGTGGCCGAGTGTCCCTGGCTGCTAAGAGACAGGAGAGTAGATGTGTATGGGAGAGGTTTGGGAAGAGAAAAAAAAGTAATCTGTCTCTGTGGGTTGGGGAACTTTGCTCACCCATGGAGCATGCCCCCTATCAAGTGGCATCCAGGGCATGTGCCATAGGTGCCATACCCTGGATACGCCATTGCCTGTCATCCTCTATCCATATAAACTAGGAGAGGGGAGGGCAGCACTAAGTTATGCTGCATACACATGTGCTGATAGGAGGAGATAGCAGAGTGAGCAGAGTTGGTGACTTATCAGCATGTCGCTGCTCTTGCATTGTCCAATCAGCAGGTTGGGGTCAGGAAGATGACACCATTGTATTTCTTAAAATGGACCTTGCCCCAAATTGCATGGTCCACTTATTAAATGGTTCCCTCCCCATTACAAAAAACAATGGAGCAAAGTTAAAAAAATACACTTACCTGGATCTGCACTAGGAAGGGTGACATTACAGTCTTTCCTGCAAGATCCTGAGCAAGCCGAGGATCCTGAATCCTCTCTAGAGCAGTACATTTGCGTCTACTTGCAAGATATGTGATCCTCATGGTTTTTTTAAGGTGGAATGCAGAGTTTTTACATGGGGTGGGTAGCAGGCCACTAGTTTCTAAGCATTTTGGTGCAAGGTCCATTTAAACTCTGTATCATTGTACTCACCATCTTGGCTGTGGTGTCTGCCAGACGTATATAAATCACAAAAGTGGCTGGACAGACCTACAAATCCGCTGATAGATTAGACCAGTGGTGGCGAACCTATGGCACTCATGCCAGAGAGGGCACCTGGGACCCTCTCTACTGGCACGCAAGCCTAGGTTCAGATTAACATATGGGCGCTCCTAAAGATATGCACGACCGGCCTGGTTTGCCTCGCGGAGGTCTCTCCGGGCCCTTATAGACCACCTGAGAGTCGTACAGCCCCCACGAGAGCCTATACAGACCACCTAAGAGCCGCACAGCCCCCCTGAGAGCCCTTATTGACCACCTAAGAGCCGCACAGTGCCCCTGAGAGCATGTACAGACCACCTAAGAGCCCACACAATTTCCCTCAGAGCCCTCATTGACCACCTGGGAGCCCTTGTTGACCACCTGAGAGCCCACACAGCGCCCCTGAGAGCACACACTGCGCCCCTGAGAGCCCACACAGCACCCCTGAGAGCCTGTACAGATCACCTAAGAGCCTGCGAGGTTGCAATTGCAGGGTTGGCACTTTGAGATACATAAGTTGGTTTAGTAATCCAGTTTGGGCATTCGGGGTCAATTAAATGCAGATCACGCTGTCCAGCATAATTAACAGTTACAGGGGTTGTGACAAACCATACAACCAGAGGTGGATCATCCAAAAGGCAACCCATGTGCTTGGTGGAAGATGATCTAAAAGATGCCAGTTCTAACATTGGTGCATGCTTACATGTACAATGTAATATGAGTCATACTATTGTTGCTGTTTGAGCGGTTCAATAGGAAATAATTGCAATCCACGATAAGGTACACAAAACCCCCACAAAATCAGTATTTTTTAGCTTACCTCCCCGCTTCTGTTCCACTTCACAAAAATGAACACCTTCTGATGAATAGATAAATGCGTGAACATGCTGCGCCCCATCCTACAACACAACAAAAGTAAAGGAGGGCAAAATTAGGATGTGGTCAAGGGCAGGTTTTATATTGTTGCAGTGCTACTTCAAAGGTCTTTGTTCATCAGGCTGTCTTCATATAGTAAATCTGTCTCGCTGCCAGGAGAGGACTAGGCTGGGGGGGTGGGAGGTATTTGCCCCCTGGGCCATTACTAATAAGATATACTGGCTTGCTGACCCTGAGTGGAGATGCTTCACCATTCAGATGTTCATCAGAGCAGGACCTGCAGTCAGTGATACATGTGGGCATTAGATAGGTTCCTGCTCCCCTATCAGACCTGCAATCAAAGCATCTGGCAGCGAGAAGTCTACCAGCCCCAACTTTCTTTTCCATTCTAAGATGTCATGTGATCGAATGCCTAGAGCTGCAATGGAAGCTGATGTATGAAGATGTGAAGGTGTGTCCCAATAAATAATGTTCTTTAGGGCACCCACTTTTTACCATGCCCATTGATCACTGTAGTACCATGGCCTACTTTGTCCTCCCGTTACCCTAAGTAGAACTATGGGGAAAAGCCTTAACCCCATAGTTCTCCTTTAAGCCCCCAGAAACCTTTTCCCAACATAATAGAGCAACTTGGTTGTATTTGCCTCCCAGGTTCCCAGTCCTTCCCTGCTTACTTTTCCTGTTTGGTATTACCTAATTGTGCAATAGAATTGATAAATATCACCCATGGTCTGCAGCCTTCATGTTTCCATTTAATGTGCTCTAATGACACAATACCGGTAGGTCATCTTATCTTTAAAGTGAATCTGATCACAATCACAAAAATCTCACTGTAATCTTTAACATATTAATGTAATTTCAAAAAAATGTTTCATCTTTTTAAATATGCAGCTTTCTTTAAAAGAATACCTTCCATGATCCTCCTGCCATGAAGGTTCTTGTTCAGCCACTTTCTGTTATGGGGTGACAACTGTCTCCCAGTTGTGCTTCCCTGTTGTCACCCTGTCATATGCACCCCTGGTTGAAGCTACAAGCTATCATGCTGACACACATTGCACAGGGATGGTCCACTGTTGTCACCATCAGGGAGCTTGTCCAAAGCAATGATGTGCAGCTGAGTAGGGAGTGTACATATAAAAAGTAATGATATGCGTTGGCTTGTTGCAAAGTCCGTTCACCAGAGTTCACCGAAGCCCATACAAAACTCTGACTGACACACACCCCCTCCCAGCCCAATGAGTTGTGGCCAGGGCAATCCCGGCCCTGCTGCTACAATTCAAAAAGGCGCCGGGAATAAACCTTTCTACAACTGTTTGGGCCAGGAGGGAGGGGGTGTCAGTCACAGGCTCACAGCTCTACATGGGCTTGGGCAAAATCCAGCAAACTGGGTTAGCAAGCACTAAGCCTCCCACACATCCTTAGTAGGCAGGAAGTGGGTGAAATAGTCTGGCTGAGACCAGCAGTGATGAGATGCCAAAAAAAAAGATATTAAAGGTTAAAATAGCATTTTATGAACCAAAATATATAGCAGTTTTTTAGACTATAAAATACAGTGTTTTAGCAAACTAAAGGGTTTACATCTACTTCAAGCTACACCACATCCCTATTCCTGCCCCATCCAGTTCCTCTATATATTCCTCTAACTGAATACATAAGCATTTAATATGTGCTGTAAACCCTTCCTACTACAACTTTTGCTGAGCTGCCGATACTCCTGATATGGCCATGAAGATGTATCTAACTTAGTGAGTGTGAAACCAGTAGAGCCCAATAGAAACAACTTTGAGCAAGTAAAAAAAGCCAGAAGTAGAATACATTCATATGACCTGTCAAAGTCACATGATCAGCTCCCCTCCTGCGTCAAGCTCTGCAGTGTGGCCTGTTTTTTTAATGAATGGAATATATCGATAGCCACTCTTTGCTATAAAGGTGCCCATACACTGTGAGATTATCGCACGAAAATTGCGGGAAATCCCGCGATCGTACGATAATCGCAAAGTGTATGGAAGGCGTGCAACCGTTTTTACTGTACGGTCACACGTCTTTTGTCTAAGGAGCATGCTAGAAAACCAGCCGAGAATCGTACGATTTTCGGCTGGTTTTTAGCATGATCGTAAGATCAATGCCGCACGGGCCGGTGTGCGCACGTGCACACTGCCCGTTCAGCATTGCGGTCATCGGAAGCCCGCCCCTCAGGGGGGCGGGCTTGCGATGATCGCAAGTACGATCTGCCTGTCCAAGATGGGCAGATCGTACATTTTTTAAATTACTTTACAACCATCGCAAGACTAAGGTCTTGCGATGGTTGTAAAGTGTATGGCCACCTTTCATCATCCCCAATGTACACTGCCTGGCCAAAGAAAAGTCACCACCTGGATTTCGCTAAGTATGTAAATAGGTCAGAGCCTTCCATTGGATATTAGGTCTGGGTTCAGCAATGTTATGTCCCCAAAAATGAGGCCAGCTGCCTACCTGAATATACTGAATGCCCAGGTTTTTCCATCAATGGATCAAAGGTTTTTCCATCAATTGGGCATATTCCAAGAGGACAATGCCAGGATTCATGGGGCTCAGATTGTGAAAGAATAGTTCAGGGAGCATGAGACATCATTGTCACACATGGATTGGCCACCACAGAGCCCAGACCTTAAAGGAGAACTATGGGGTTAAGTCTTTTCCCCATAGTTCTCCTTAGGGTAACGGGAGGACACAAACTAGCATCCTCCCGTCACCCTAGGCTCAGTATACCGCGAGCTGTAGCTCGCGGTATACTGAGACGCCGCAGTATACAGCGAGCTGCTGCTCGCGGTACACTGAGACGCCGCAGCTGAAGTGGATCCCGACAATTATACCGGGATCTGCCCAGCTGCGTGACTGACAGCTGGCTCTGCCTATCTAAAGGCAGAGCCAGCTGTTCCCGCACCCTCTCCCATCCGTTCCGCCAGTCAGCGCTGGCGGATCGGAGCAGGGAGGGGGGAATCCAGCCCCTCCCCTGTCACGGCAGAGAGCCGTGACAGGATCGAGAGGTGAGCGAACGCCGGTATGTGTTCACTCACCTCCAGATCTACTGAGCCGACCTGTGACAGTCTCATTGTCACAGGTCGGCTAGAACTATGAGGTGAGTGGAAAGCACTCACCTCATAGTTCTCCTTTAAGCCTATTGAGAATCTTTGTGATGTACTGGAGAAGACTTTACGAACTGGTCTGACTCTCCCATCATCACTACAAGATCTTGGTGAAAATCTAATGCAACTCTGGATGGAAATAAATGTTATGGCACTGCATAAGCTTATCGAAACGATGCCACGGCGAATGTGTGCCATAGTCAAGGCTATAGGCCTTTTTTTGGCCAGGCAGTGTATATATACCCAATCAGTCAAATGCTCAAATTAATCACCTTGCCAGCAAAAATGAAATAGTGCTTTACATGGGTAAAATCTAATCAGTTACGTTGGGTTATAGGTCATAGTTGGACCTTTTAGCCCATTACTAAATACAAGCATATCTGGGTACCTTTTCAAAGCGTCTCCAGGGGGCTTCTTCAATATAAGCTTTTGCTTCTGTAACATGGTTGAACGACGTCAGGAAATGATTACAAAGCTCCAGAGAGAAGTCCTCAATAGTTTTTATCTGAAACAAATATATAGATTCAGTACACAAGGAACTCATATACCTTTAAACTAGGGATGTTCAGATACCAAGTACAGTACTCGGCACAAGTACAAGTACAGATACTTTTCCAGCTCCAGGACTAGACTAGAGGAAAACTAAAAAGTTAGGAGGCAGCTGTCATTTGTAAGGAGCATACGGAGCTCCTGGGATTTGTACATCTCTGTTTTCATGAATGATTTATTTTTTTATAAATATATATTAGGGGTGCACCGATACCATTTTTTAAGTACAAGTACTGATACTTGTCCAAGTACTCACAGATACAAGTACTGATACATTTTTGTTTAGTGTCATGTGACAGTTTTTCTAAAACAATACAGACTAATGATTTCAGGACAGTGGTGGAGCGCCAGAGCCCGGTCCCAGCTGCAACCGTTGATAGTTCTCATGAAAATGCCAAGTATCGGCGCTGGTATCTGAACTGGTATCTGGACATCCCTACTTTAAACAGTGAACTAACAAAGTAAGTAGTTGTCCAACACGTTCCATGTTGTAATAGGCCAAGAGTCAGGAAGCTAAAAATTCCCTTGTTAACCATTAAAAAATAAAGCTTCTTGATCAACATTCTATCATCAAATGCCATTCTATAATACATATATTTACATATATGTTCTACGTGTAACGTGCAAAAATATCTGCTGCATGTCATCATATGTCACAGTGGAAGGCTTTCTGGTCTGAACATCGAGCAGACCTTTCACTAAAAATCAGCTTGCAGTTCTGTCTGCTGATATCAGATTATCTTACATTCATTAGTTCAACAATTTTTGCATACAATTACTGTTATTCCACTTCCTGGTTGAGTGAGGCACTGGTGATGTCTCCCTGGCCTCACAGATACAAGATCCTCAGTGCCTTCTTGGGAAATCTCATCTGTAAACTGCAAAATCTCACAAGATCAAGTGGAAAAATTATTGTTTTCACATGTCACATGTTCCATGAGGCCGACCCAGAGTTCCAGGAAGTAAAGGGGGATGGATTCATCTGCCCTTAGTGAAAATGGCAATTTACAGGCATGAAGTGAGGGCAGCTCTTTGTAAAACAGGTGAACCCAGGAGAGGTCACTGTAGTAGTGATGCAAAAAAGATGTTCAAGAAGTGAGGGCGCCAACTAAGTTTAATAGGTCCAGATGGTTTTAATCAGTCATAAGAGAAGCCAACACGTTTCAGGGCTCAGCAGTCCACCTTCATCAGGGGTTGTAGTTGCAGAATAAAAGCACAGGTAGCACACTGGACCGAGATGAAATGTTTAAAAAAGTAGGAAGACTCATTCAGGGTGCTGACTCACAGGGAGTGGGTTGTATGACCCTGGGTGCCCTTTAACCCAGGGATAAGCGGTGAGGTCAGTTGCAGTTGAGGCACCCCCTTGCCCACCACGCCCAGGCACGGTCACCGAGCTATGTGTTCATCTGCCGGTGTGGGAGGAGGGAGGGAGGAGACAGGGAAGAGCCTCCTTGTCCCTCACTTTCTCATCACTGATGAGGCATCCAGATGGATGCCGTCAGTGTTTTCTTTTTGTTTTTTTTAATGGAGGGCTGCCATTGGTCCAAACTATCCACAGAGCTCAAGCCTCTGACTTCAAGTCAGAGGCTAGTTGTAGACCTAACCTCACTGTATTAGCTTAAACTCAGCAGCGGGGAAGACTGCAGCTGCGGAACCTAGCATAGCTGTAAAAAAATGGAAACAAAATGTGTCGCCCGACTTGAAGCTGACAGCTTCCTCTTCCATAATTCCATCCTGCACGTCCCTGCTTCAACCAGGAGGACTGGCGGCATCTACTGGTGGAAAAGGAGTAGTGCAGGGGCAGCTCTAGATTGAAGGTATTGCAAACAGTGTTGTTTTCCTTTATTTCTATACCAGTTAGACCTCAGTTCTTTAAAAACAAAAAACAAAAAGGAGTTAAGCTTTAACTTCAGTCATTTTTTTTTCCCCTCAAAGAAAAACCTTTATTGAAAGATACAACCTACAAGATAAATTCAGCAAATGCCCATGGAGGCTGCCCATGATGGCTTTTCATCCTGCATTGCTCATTGCCCTTGAGTCTTATTGGGAAGTATGGAAATGAGGACTTTGATGATCTACAGACTTGATACAGGTCAGTATTGAAACTAGAGGGTCAGTATTAGAGCCAGGCAACCAGCATTTTGAATAAATTGTCAGCAATGACAACATCGTATTTCTCTTAGGAAAGGTCTACTGTAAATAAAACATTTACTTTGTATTGAAGATTTGTGAAGAAGGATAAAGATGATTTACCCCTTTAAACTTTGCCAGAGCGTAGATGGTGTTCTTCACCGTGTCTGTCGGGATGATGTCGGCGTTATCCCCATATAGATAATCCTTCTTTGACTGGAGGGTGAGCTGAACAGAGGCCTCGATTTCTTTAATAAAATGTACATTTCCATTTCTTTTAATCTGGAGAACTTTCACTGCGTCCTTCCCATAGCCGGTACGTGCAAATTCCACATCTGAGTCCTAAAAGACATTAAAGTACATGTAACCCGGTGACTTGCATCTCATAAAAGCTTTAACATGTTCATGTGAAATCAAAAGAATAGTTTTCATTCTGCATCTTCCATGAACATAATCCATGACAATCCTATCATAAAGGTCCTTGTTCAGGCACTTGTAGGGTGACAACGCTCTGTCTCTTTATCCCAGTTGTGCTCCAGTGTTGTCACCCTTCTGATGGAGGCTACAACTGGACATTTCGAGACACGTTATAATGAAATGGTTGTCACCACTAGGAAACCCACCCTGAAAATGCCATGAAGCATCATTGAAGTGCATGTAGACAGGAAGAGGATGCTGAAGACCAGCAGCACTTAATGAGATAAGAAGTAATAAATGGCAACTGTTTATGATGCACAGTGCATCCACCTACTAATTGTTTCTGGCTGACACATCATCTTATACTTACCTTCTCTTTTCTGCCCCACTTCACCATTCGCCCGTGGTAATATGGCAAAGAAGAAATGTATAAGGGTTATTTGCTAGGACCTTAACTGTCATACCCATCCTACGGCTTCACTACAAGCATGCACCCAGTGATGCAAGAAGTTGCATGCATCTTGCGTGCACTGGCTAAGTAGTTAAGCAGGACAACCAATAAGCTGCTACAATAAGGTTACCAGATTTTCAAAATGAAACCCGGGGACACCCTACTGACCTCACCCACTTGTAACCATACCCCAAAACCACACCCCCATTTGTAGCCACACCCACAAAATCCCACCCTCATTTTCAGCATGCCCTGAAACAATTGGTCACAGACTTCAAACAGACATTTCAATGTCTGCTTCCTGAAACAGGAAGCAGACATTGAAAATGTAAAGACATAGTGCCCTGGGAATTATAAGGAGTCAAATAATACAGTGTGCCATGGCAAATCATCCATGCAGTCAAATTATGCAGTTGGGGAACAGTGGGAGTGGCTGAAGATGCATGGTTAAATAAACCCAGAGCCTCCCCTGCTATAGGCCACGCATGTGTAACACACAGAGTGCAGGGATTAGGAGTGTGTAGTGCACAGAGTGCAGGGGGTCATGAGTGCTTAACGCAGAACACAGGAGCCAAGAAACTCACGGAGCAGAGAGCAGGAATCAGTAGTATGTAACATACAGAGTGCAGGGGTCAGGAGTAGGTAACACATGGAGTACAGGGGACATCAGTAGGTAATGCATGGAGTACAGAGGACATCAGTAGGTAATGCATAGAGGACAGGGGTCATGAATAGGTTATGCATGGAGTACAGGGGACATCAGTAGGTAACTCATGGAGTACAGAGGACATCAGTACGTAATGCATGGAGTACAGGGGACATCAGTAGGTAACTCATGGAGTACAGGGGTCATCAATAGGTAATGCATGGAGTACAGGGGACATCAGTAGGTAACTCATGGAGTACAAGGGACATCAGTAGGGGACAGTAGCAAGTAACGCAGAGCTCAGTAGTAAGTAATGCAGGGTTTAGTAGCAAAGCAGGGTTCAGGGGTCAGTAATAAGTGATGCAGAGTTCAGGGGTCAGTAGTAAGCAACACAGGGTTTAGTAGTAAAGCAGGTTCTCAGGGTCAGAAGTAAGTAATGCAGGGTTCAGGAGTAAGTAGTAAGTAATGAAGGGTTTCTGGGGGTCAGTAGTAAGTAACACAGAGTTCAGGGGTCAGTAGTAAGTAAGGCAGCGTTCAGGGGTCAGTAGTAAGTAAGGCAGAGTTCAGGGGTCAGTGGTAGGTAATGCAGAGTTCAGGGGTCAGTAGTAAGTGACGCAGAGCCCTAGAGGCAGCTATCACAGCATATAAAAAACTGGATACACATGACTGCAGTTCACTGATACCAGGGACGCAGCTGGGAACGATTGTTTCCCGGGAACAGACCTCTCCAAATGGGGACTGTCCCCGGGAAATGGGAACTAATGGTAACCTTATGCTAAAGCTCAGTGGCAAAACTCTTCTTTCCATCAAAACTGGACCATTTAAAAAAAAAAAAAAATTCTCCATAGCATAAAAAAACAACTTTCCAATGTTACAGGAGAACATTGATCAAAATGGTGATATAGTGTGGCTCCAGTGCCCCCACAGTGCTTCAATTCAAACAAATCTGGATAGATCTCTCACCGCCTTCTATGAAACTCCCCCTGCTGCAGCTGAAGGAATGAGACTCCAGGTCAGGGAGCTTAAGGTTAGAAGATGCCATTTAAATGCATTTGAGCCATGTATTATTATCTAGCTGCCTTGTACACATCTCTGTGTCCATACCTTCAGTGCTCCGGAGTTGTGATGTGCCATCCTCGGTGGATGTCCAGATGCAATGTCTAATAGATCACCTACACGTCACTCTGTCTAGTAATAGGTGGCAGTGGAAGGGGCTTGTCAGGGGCCACCCAATTGTATGTTGTCCCCGGAGCCGGCTGCTATTTACTTAGCTGAGATGTTAGTTCTGCCCGTATGGTGAAATGATCAGTTAAAGCCAGTTATCATTTAACAACACTGTTTAGACAACATTTTGCAGATTGAAAATTAACCAGCATAGTTTCTCGATAGCGATTGGCTCGGTGACTACACTCTGATCTGTGCATTAAATGAGAAACAACCCTAATGAGGTCAAACAAGGACATTGTAGAGGAGCAGAAACCCCATTTAAAGTGTAGCCCCCCCCAAAAAAATGTATATAATGCAGATTGCCAGTCCTCAGATTGAATGGCTGCATTCGTTTTCTTTTAAAAATAAATAAATTATCTTTTATTTTCACTTGGTGATTGTGCCAGTGCTGCTATGGGGCCCGGGGGTGGAAGGGGCCCCGTTAGGCTGTTGAGGCAATTAAACATACAACGTGTAAAGATAATACAGTCCTGTATCATTAAGCGTTGGAGTGGTTGTAGCTGACAACTCTAATCCCATGTAAAGTCCACAGTGTTGCGGTGACTTCAGATCCGCAAGAGGAGTCTTTGGGAGCTTGGCATCGTTACAGCTCAAAGAGAGGTTGTCAGGAGGGGCACATCACATTTTTGCTATGGGGCTCCTTGATCTGTAGTTACGGCCTTGATGACTGGGTTTTTTTTTTTTAACTGTCCCTGGCTTCCTGTTCTGGTGACAACCACACCCCTATTTCTTGTATGGGTGTCACAGGGACAGCAAGGGAAGGGAAGTGGTGTCACAGACACAAACAATATAGATATATATAGATATATTATATTATATATATATAAATATATATATACATACACACTGTATATATGTATATATACACACCTCAAGTGTGTAATTTGCTTGCCTGGAGTTCAGTCTCAGACACAGGCACCGCACTGGTCATATGACTGCACTTCCTGTCGCCTTGTCATATTAACATCTATGGAACTTCTCCTTTGTGACACTTTCAGAGTCCCCAGGGAGGAGAACATGTCAGGAGTCAATCTGATTGCACTGTTGGGCTTGTGCGCCCTGTATCTCGTCGCATGTGAGATCTCGTGCCGCAACGAAGCCGGAGAACCCGTAGACTGGTATGTATCAAGTAGATGCAAAGTTGTCTCAAATAAGAAAGTGAAAGCAGAGGGAGCGGTGAAGGTAAGAAGGAACATTTCACGCAGAATTCCAGCTTCTCTTGTCTTGTTTTACAGATGAGACAGAAGTGATAGAGCTCTGCCATTCAACTGCACTATGTGCTGCTTGCATCCTTGCCCCTGTCCACCCTAGGGTTGCCACCTTTTCCTCAAGTGAAACCCGAACACTCTAGCGCCGCGCAGCAATTTTTTTTGGGAGAATATAGAGGCGAGAGCGAGGAGAGGCAGCCAGGAGGAAGAGCAAGAAGAGACAGCAGGGGAGGGAGTAATGAGACCAGCTATAGAGGACTACAAATCCCAGCAATACATTATACAGAAATACAAAACTATGTTGTTCAGGGGTGGTGCCCTGATGTCTCCAGGGTCTCTGGTGGCTTGTTCAGGCTCTCACCAGGGCTGTGTGGGCTCTCATGTGGACTCCATGGGCCCTCAGGCGGGCTGTGCCGGCTCTCAGGTGGGATATGCGGACTGTCAGGTGGGATATGCGGACTCTCAGGGGGGATATGCGGACTCTCAGGTGGGATATGCAGACTCTCAGGTGGGATATGAGGGCTCTCAGGTGGGATATGCGGACTCTCAGGTGGGATATGAGGGCTCTCAGGTGGGATATGCGGACTCTCAGGTGGGATATGCGGACTCTCAGGTGGAATATGTGGTCTCTCAGGTGGCTGTGTGGGGTCTCAGGTGGGCTATGCAGGCTTTCAGGAGTGCTGTGCAGGCTGTGCGCTGTCTCCCTAGGGGTTTGAAGGCAGGCAGGGTGGTGTCAGGAAGACAGAGGAGGATATGTGCGGGCCGGCGCCTATTTACAGTCACCGGCTCACATAAAGATGCGGCTTCAGGCAGATGCAGCTGCCTGAGGTCCGGCGATTGCTGGGGACCTCGGCAGCCCCATCTGTCAAAAAATGTTAAGTGCCGATACCGACACTTAGTGTCTTGTGTCGGGGTGTCAGCTGGCCTGAAACTGTCAGCTGGCCTATGACACTGTCCCATCAGGGCTGCCAATCCACCAACTAGGGTTGCCACCTGTCCAGGATTGACCCAGACAGTCCCGATTTTGAATGCTGTGTCCGGGTTTCATGGCAGCAGAAACCTTCACGCAAGATGTCAGGCAGACAGGGGCAACCAAAATTAACATAAGGGCTACTGGCCCCCCACTGAAAATAGTCTCGACTGTAATATTTACATATGAATGGGTGGCACTAATTACATATGAATAAGCCACGACTCATTCTCCCCCAAAAATGTTCATAATGAAGTTTAGATACATTGCAGCTTTGACCATATCTTGTAGGTGGAGGTATTGTACACATCTTTACGCGTTTTGCCCTCAAAGGGGCTTCCTCAGAAGTATAGCATGGTGAGTACAGTCACCACTGGCCCGATCTTGTGCATGAAGGGACGCACCACACAATGGAACAACTGTTTTTTTAAACAATTTTTAATTGTAACTAGTTCTTATATTTGTATTGTTGTACACACAGGTACATTGTGTCAGTGGCATCACAAGGGGGGTGCGGCTATTGAAGGAGTAACACCAAAACGACTGACAGTCATTTTGGTGTCACCCCCTCTAAAAATTCGGACCGAGAGCTCGACAGTGTCAGGGGGTACATGGCCGTACGCCGCCCTACACTCACCTGCCCTGCACGTCCGTACGGGTGCGGGTGTCCATACTCAAACGCTAACAGGATAGATCCTGTCTGCGTTCGAGCCGGGACACCTGCACCCGTACGGACCTGCACTTGTGGTGAGCGTAGGGCGGCGTATGACTCCCATAGAGAAGGACAGAGGCTGCGTACTAATCACACGCAGCACCTGTCCTTCCTGGGAGCTGCCCGATACGGCTGTGCACGCAGCACAGAGCTGTACATGCCGGCTTTTTCTCTTGCGAATGAGGCCTAAATCGAGTGCCTTAGGCCGGTGATATGATAAAGCTCTGTGGACTGAGCTTGTTGTGTTGTTTACATTGTATATAGTTGATTGTATTGTTGTTGCGTTGTATACATTGTATATAGTTGATTGTATTGTTGTTGCGTTTTATACCTTGTATATAGTTGATTGTATTGTTGTTGCGTTGTATAAGTTGTATATAGTTGGTTGTATTGTTGTTGCGTTGTATACCTTGTATATAGTTGATTCTATTGTTGTTGCGTTGCATACGTTGTATATAGTTGATTGTATTGTTGTTGCATTGTATACGTTGTATATAGTTGATTGTATTGTTGTTGCATTGTATACGTTGTATATAGTGGATTGTATTGTTGTTGCGTTGTATACGTTGTATATAGTTGATTGTATTGTTGTTGCGTTGTTTACATTGTACATAACTGATGTTATTTTTAATACAGGTTTGTGGTTTACAAATTACCGAAGTATAGAATCAATGACACAGGAACGGGACTGGAATATTTGTATCTGGACTCCAGGTCACAAGGATGGCAAGTCAGCAAATTCCTCACCAACATGACCCAGAGTGCACTGGGGCAAGTGCTGCAGCAGCTGTATCAGTCGTATGAAGTGAGCACCATCTGCTATATACTGTGAAGGGTCCGCCTGCAGAAATATGATGTTCCAGTCTCAGATAAATCTTGGTTTAATCTTCCACGGGCTCCATGCACTCCCCCCAGGGCAGCCTCCAGATCTATTTACATGCTGTGGCCATGACAAAGGGATCTTAGGCTGGACATGCACTTGTAGATTTCTCTCGCTCAACCCTGTTTGCTTAACGAGACAAATCACTTCATTCTCCTATCCTGAACAGCATGGATGGAGGGATCTTCCCTGCTCGCTGTTGTATTCAGACACTTGGCACCAGCTGCTGTCCGAATACCTGATTGCATGCAGCCACTGTTTGTCCCACAATTTTGCATTGGCTCCTTTAATTTCTCAATAGCAGTTGAGTCGGGTGGTGGTGAGAGACAAAATTTTGCGTCAATTCAGCAGGGAAGGACTGAAACTTGAGCCACGTAAGGCCGGCTTTAAGCTGGTGACACACTGGTAGATTTTCAAAGGAGCTTTTGTATGAAAAGTATCATCAGATCATTCGATAAAGCCATCAGAGACCCCTTTTCAGCAAGAAACTTTTCAGCAAGTACAGAAATTACTTAATGCAGCATTAATGCCACTTCCTGTGAGCTGAACAGACAGCAGAGGTATGTTTAAAGTCCAGCCTGGGTGACAACCATGGTCCCCTTCACAACATATACAGTGGAGGAGTGGGCGTAGCCACCCAGGGCAGGGCAGGGGTGTCCCGGGGCTGGGTGAGACCCAGAGCGGAGACAGGGTTACAACCCGCCATGATGTCATCTTACTGATAGACGCCGGCAGAGAGAGGAGGGGACGTTCACCCGGCGGGATGAGGTATGCCGCCGGGTCCCCTCCTCTCTCCTGACGCTGTCGGGCTCTCGGTCCGTGACCGAGTGCTCGACTTTACATAGGGGGTGACACCAAAATGACTGTCAGTCATTTTTGTGTCATCCCCCCAATGGTGTCACCCAGGTGCGGGCCGCACCCCCCTTGTGACACCACTGACCTAGGGACAGGAAATGTGTTATTCGCAGTAACACCAGGTGATAAATAAGGGTGAGAAGGCCTGAAAAACTAATGCTGCCACCACATCTAAGGACAGGTATAAATTACATTTTGGGTTTTGGGTTTAGATACACGTCGAGATTTAGATTTTATATGTATTTCTGATAGTTTTTTTTCATTTTCTGTTATTTTATCTGTTTTTTCTTGTGTGTGTGTGTGTGTGTGTGTATTTGAATGTTATTTGTGTACTTTTTGTGTTTTTTTGTTTTAATTTTTTTTAATGTCTGTTTCTTTCTGTGGACAAAAAAAAACATATAACAATTGGGGCTGACGTTGGGCTGTTTTTGGCACAGCTACATTATATTTGGAAGGGCCTTCCCTGACCCTCAGTTTGTTTATTTTTGGGATAACAGGTTGCTTTACACCCACTGAGTATATTTTAGCATCACATCTCGTGGAACATTAGTTTTTACTCACTTGGTATATTTTATCTCTTTAGGACAACAGCACAGCATACATGTTATACAACGATGCCCCTCCAATAAAAAACAACTTTTCCACCAAATATGGTCATACTAAAGGTGAGTTCAATCTCATTGTCTACATAAACAATCTTTGCAGATGGTCAGAGACTGAGGACATGTTATAGGAGATAGTCAGAGCCTGAGGACATGCTACAGGAGATGGTCAGTGACTGAGGACATGCGACAGCATGTCTTCTTTAGCATGCCTGCAGCCCCTGATTGTCTCATGTAGCATGCTAACACTCTCTGACTGTCTCCTGTAGCATGTTCGCAGTCTCTAATTGTCTTGTGTAACATGTCCACAAACTCTGACTGTTTCCTACAGCATGCCAACACTCTCTAACTGTCCACTGTAGCATGTCCACAGTCTCTGACTGTCTCCTGAAGTGTGTCCACAGACTCTGACTGTCTTCTGTAGCATGCCTATAGTCTCTGACTGTCTCCTGTAGCATGTCCACAGTCTCTGACTGTCTCCTGTAGCATACTAACACTCTCTGACTGTTTCCTGTAGCATGCCCACTGTCTCTGTCTCCTATAGCATGCCCACAGTCTCTGTCTCCTATAGCATGTCCACAGTTTCCTGTAGCGATGTCTCCAGTTCCTGACTGTCTCCTGTAGCATGTCCGCAGTCTCCAACTGTTTCCTGCAGCATGCCCATAGTCTCTGTCTCCTATATAGTGTGTGAAATCTGCCTGTTGCAACCTCTATACAGCCTCTGACCCTCTCCTGTAGCAGTGCAAATGTTGAGTATAATGCATGATCCTTGTCAGGGGTCACTATGAGGTGAGTGGAAATCACTCATCTCATAGTTCTCCTTTTAAGGCTTTTTTCATTTAGTAAGTTGACAGTCACTGGATTCTGACTCTGTCTTTTATTTATAGATGTGTGTGTCAATCCAGCCACAGAAATCTGTGATCATAGGGACAGTACAATATGGCTTGGGGTGATGGTGGTGTGTGTGAGGGGGGGCAGGGGGTATCCATTGCTAGGTGTATGTCCTTTAACCTTCTCATCACTGCCTTGTCATCATGGCCTCAATACCTTCCCCTCTTTTATGAAAACTTTAGAAGTTTTTACACTTGTTCCTTCGGAAGGTCAATGCAAGATCATGACCAGAGGTTTCTAAACCTTGCACAGAGTTTTCCTGTATCAATATCAATGAGTCAGTTAAAAATTAGCTTCTTTTCATTCAACTTTCAGTCCCGTTCTACGTCCTGAACCTAGAGCACTATATGCAGCTTTGTACGTAAAGAGGAAAGCAGAGCCTTCTGCAATAGGTAACTAACTGCTACGGGCAAACATCTCCCGCTGTACCTTGGACACAGTGCTTACTATGCAAAAAAATGATTAGCTTTATTAGACCAGTGGACTGAAATTGAATTAAAGCCCAATTGAGCTCAATACATTCTAGGTGCATCAAAAGTTTGTTTTCTTTAAAAAGCAGACACAGCCTGAGCACAAAAGCCTGTTTCCTGCCAGCATGCTGCAGAGCGGGTCCCTTGCTCTCCATAGGGAAGTCACTTGCAGAGGTCTAGGGATGGCCCCAGATGTCAAGGACAAGAACCAAAACCTACAATTTTATATAGGCATGTAGCTCATAATATGTACTATCAGATGGAATCTGTTTAATCTCCCTGTAACTGATATTTTGGATTTTATTAGAGATGAAGCATCATTCCTTTAAACTATGAAAAGGACAAACATTTCTCAGACAGTGGGGAGCCCATTGTGTACCTTGCTGTGATTTGTAGCTAAAAAGTCTAAAGATGCCCTATGTTATCTACCCACAGGCCTGCAGGATTAGTGGTTGGGTGTTCCTTCCTTCCCAAACTTTCTATTCAAATTCAAATGGTGTATATCTGTCTCCTCGGTTCTACTGACTAGTGAAATTATAAAATATCTTGTGATATTGACTCGCCTCTATTCTTTTATATACTCCATATACCCCCTGCTAAGTAAGAGCTGAATCTCTCCACTCAGCGAATCTCTCCAATGAGCTTTGCTGATTGGGGAGCTACAGGTCTCATACAGTAGGGGGCATTTCAGACCTTTGCATGGAGACCACTTCCTCCCCACATAGAGAAAAGAACCCTCTCAACAGCATTCTGTAAACTCTTTTGCAAGCTTTCACCACCGCGATTCCTGTCTCTGGCAGAACCTCTTCTGAGTATGTCGAGACTCAAAGCCCAGCAATTGGTGTTCAGCAATTCGTCTTCGCCTGGGAACGGGCATGCAAAGATTGTCAATATAAAAATGAGGTTAACTCCAGCGAACACTTACCTTCTGGTGGTTTGACAGATATAGAAACGCAGAGTCTGGAGTCTGTAAGGTTTATATTTTGGTGTATAATAACTTTGGTGTGGCTGCTGTTTAAAGGAGAACTATGGGATTAAGGCTTTTCCCCATAGTTCTCCTTAGGGTAACGGGAGGAAACAAACTAGCGTCCTCCCGTCACCCTAGGCTCAGTATACGGCGAGCTACAGCTCGCCGTATACTGAGATGCTGCAGCTGAAGCGGATCCCGACAATAATGTCTGGATCCGCCCAGCTGCGTGAATGACAGCTGGCTCTGCCTATCTAGAGGCAGAGCCAGCTGTACCCGCCCCCTCCCCGTCGGATCCACCAGTCAGCACTGGCGGATCGGAGCGGGGAGGGGGGAATCCAGCCCCTCCCCTGTCACGGCAGAGGGCTGTGACAGGATCGAGAGGTGAGCGAACGCCGGTATGTGTTCACTCACCTCCCGATCTACTGAGCCGACCTGTGACCTCACCTCATAGTTCTCCTTTAACTAAAAGACCTCTAGGCTGAGACACCAACTAATGGACCTATTTTTAGCACATACTAAAGTAACTGACCCCCTCAGAGTACAAACTTTCATTAGAAGTCTAAAGCTATGATAAAGGAGCTCATTCAGGATCCCTGAAACACGCTGTTTTATTTATTGCATATATTTATGATAAAAGAACATTTACTTTTTAATCTCAGTTTTATTGGCACTTTCTTCTTGTTACATCATTATGATGGTCTAAAGCTGCAGAGCAGAATGCATTCAGCTACAACGGCCAGTACCATCACCATCCCAGAAGCAGCCTGCAGCCCCTAATCCTTGAATTCAGCCTTCATCATAGGCCTGAGGAAAATTTTGCAGTTCTTCTCATGCAAAAATATGGCACAAAGACTTATGATTCTGTAGCTGTGTACATAGGATAATACCAGGAATACACAGGACAATACAACACCTGTAGGTGGCACTATGTGTGGTTTGGAAGCAGGAATAGTGCAATTTCAGTGTCCACCAGCACCCCAGCCAGCACTTCTCGACTCAGGGCCACCAACCTAGCCTTAAGAGTACTGGCCCAGGGGACAAATGCCCCCTAGCCCGGTCTTCACCTGTAACCTTCATTAATTGGTTAGTTCCACAGCAGAGAATGAACCAGTTATAATGACAACACAAGTCCCTTTTCATCTGACTTTTAAGTCTGACATGATGAAAGCATTTTGGGTGTCATTTGCTTAAAAAATTTTAGTGCCTCTCTTCCGTCTCAAAAAGGAATGCAGGCAAGACCAAATTAAAAAAAGAAAAATAGAAATGTTTTATTTCCTTCACATGCCCTGTTCTCACTGTGCTTTCCTCCAAAAATGTGTCTTTGTACCTTTTCAGGAGCTCTGTTTTTTGACCAGCAACAGGGATTCTGGCTAATCCACAGCGTACCTCACTTCCCTCCATTCTTGAAGGACGGCTTCGGCTATCCTGATACTGGTAAACTATATGGCCAGACAGCCATCTGTGTGACCTACAAATATTTCCAGTTTAAACAAATTGGTAAGTATGCTGTAGAGAACGGCTTTTGAAGAGGCTACTTTTCACTGAAAACTGCACTCACTGAGCATCTGTACACCTGGTTATTAATTCAGTTCTCAGCTAATCATGTAGCATCAGCACAATGCATACAGATACATGCCCTAATCTTCAGATAATGTTCAAATCAAACATCAGAATGGGAAACAATGTGATCTCACTCATTTTGACTGTGGCATGATTGTTATGCCAGATGGGCTGGTTTTAGTCTTCCAGTAACTGCTGATCTTCTTGTATTTTCAAACATAAGTCTCTAGGAATTTATTCAAAAATACATCCAGCGAGGGGCAGTTCTGAGGACATGAATAGCATGTTGATGGTGGAGGTCACAGAAGAATGGCCAGACTAGGTTGAGCTTGCAGAAAGGCTACCATAACTCCTTACAACTGTGGGGAGCAAAAAAACATTTCAGAATGGGCAATACGGATGGGATAGAGCAACAGAAGACCATGTTGGGTACCATACTAATCGGGTTAGCCAAGAACATAAAGCTAAAGTTACAGTGGGCACAGCAGGGCCGAATCGAGGGGGCGGTG